GAGCATTAAAGGGTGCGGGGTCCTATGCTAACTCCTCACGCATACAATATTATCTTCTATAATCTGCGCAATATCTCTGTAACATCACCATCTCAAATGACAGAGTGGAAGCCCAGAGAGGCTGAGTAAGATTCTTTTTTTTTTTTTTTATGTTTATTTTTGAGAGAGAGACAGTGCGTGAGCAGGAGAGGGGCGGAGAGAGAGAGGGAGACACAGAATCCAAAGCAGGCTCCAGGCTCTAAGCTGTCAGCGCAGAGCCTGACATGGGGCCCGAACCCACAAACCGTGAGACCGTGACCCCGGGCGAAGTCAGACGTTTAACCAACTGAGCCACCCAGGCGCCCCATGGCTGAGTAAGATTCTTAAGGCAACACAGTATCTGCGTTATGTTTCCTGATTCATAACAATTGCTCACAATTGCCTACCAGATAAAAAGCAATTGGGAATCATAGTATATACATCATAGGGCTGTTAGGCTATTTATGTTATTTCTTTTTTTTTTTTTTTTTGTATTTAATGACTCCACAAATAGAGTAGGCTTTTAGTTCTTAGGCTAGAATCTTAAGAATGAACTTTGCTGTGGTAGGTGGTTTTTAAAGATCCTAGATTGTCACGTGAGGTGGGAGACGAGAAGTCTTAAAGGGGTCACAAATGTAGGGGATCTCCAATACCAAATTATTCTCCAGGGATGATGAACCTTTGTTGAAGATCCTCTACAGGAGAATGAGTGTGTGTGTGTGTGTGTGTGTGTGTGTGTGTGTGCGCGCGCGTGCGTGTTGGGAGAGGGGAACCTAACAGATGGCAGAAAACAGAGAGAATTCTGGTAGATGATGTGGATAATGAGGGCGTGGACCAAGGGACAAAGGAAACCTCTCCGTTGCTCAGAACCTCAATCTACCCCTTTCAGTAAAAGTTCCTGTTTCCTCACCCAGGTGAAGAATACCCTTGCCTTCGCATTTTACCAGGATCCTCTAAAAGGAGAAAATGTGAAAGAATCTCAGGGGTAATGTTTGTGTGTGTGGGGGGGGGGGGGGAATGGCAGGAGCCAGAAAGTCGGAGAAACCTATCAGTCTGTGACGCGGACTTCACGTCACTGCAAATGAAGGAGAGAGGGAATGATGCGTTGCATGGAAGTATCTTAGACTTCCGTGCCACATTAGGAAGGTTCTAGAAGCCCACTGCAGTGGCCTCAAGCCAGAGCCACCAGCAGAGGAGCTCCCCGTGTTTCCCAGCAGGAGGCCTGCCTTCGTATGGCTGCTGCACCCATTCATTGGCTGCACGCAGCCCACCGGAAGTGTGGCCATGGGGCACGGCAGCTGGGCCCTGGGTCACTAACCTGGTGTAGCTGAACGCTGGTGAGGCGTGCTCATGACCGTCCCACTCGGTACTTGCAAAGGTTTAACAAAGCAAGCACAAATCCTCTGCCTTCAACTCAACCGGACACGCGTGTACTCAAATGAGTTGCCCTTGGGCCAACAGGGTGTCACTAGCCGGCCCTCCGAATTGCACTTGAGCATCACTGTGTGGAGCCAGTGAGCTCACCTGCTTGCAGGACAGGTGATAAATGCCCTTCCCTACGTACAGTTGATCCTCTGCCACTCCCCCCCACCTCCCCCCCAGAAAGTCCTATTATTTCGTTCTGTTTCTTATTAAAACCTGTATCTTAGCTTTGACGGGCCGGCCCTCCCGTTTCTTTCTGCAGCCACTAGGCCCAGGATAATAAGCTATAATAAAGACAGTAATCACGTGTAAACAATACCTCTCTGAGGTGAGCTCCGAGAGACGAAGGTGGCCCAGTTGTCATCCCCCTCCTGACGGTCTGGCCCATCCTCCCCACGGTGGCACCGAGGATGTGATGGGCGAGCCTGAGCGGCTGGACCCGGGCCAGCCAGCTTGGAGTCCTTTGGTGGGACCTGAAATACTAATCAAGCAGGGCAGATGGAGGTGAGGGGCTTTCAGGATCTTACCTGAGTGCTCCGTAGGTGGCCGCAGGGCACTTGACTCCGATCCAAGAGAGGCACCTGGCTTCAAGCTGGCGTGGAGCCAGTTTCAGAGGGTACGTTTGCTGTGAACGATGGTGTCTGGGCTCAATTCATGCTTTATTGTTGTGTGTCTCTTTATAGCTAATTCCTCAGTGAAAGATGTTTGAAACCTAAGCCTCCCTCCCCTCCCTCTGTGCTTTCGTTTCAGTTGCCGGCACTTGTCCCTGTTGAGAATCACGAGAGTCCCGCTAGTGAATAAAATCCCTGCTGGAAACTGAGTCCCCGAGCCATGCCAGGCACAGTTGTAGACATATGGGAGCTTCTCCCAAGGCTGGAAACAACGTGGGAGGAGCAAAGCTGACCCTTTCCTGTAGCATCCAAGGCTATGCCTCGTGCAGTAAATGAAGAAGGAAAGATTTCTCAAAAATGGAAGAAGTGTCTTCAAAAATGTATATGGTCTCGTGCTGTGGTTCTGGAAGTCTGGTCTCACCCGGAAGCTCATTAGAAATGCCGAGTTTTGACACACCCACGCCTACTGAATCAGAAATGCTGGGGCCGGGAGCCAGCACGCTTTATAAGTTCTCCGGGTGATCGTGATCCTCACCAATGTTTGAGAATCCCTGCTTTAGAGACGGAGATTGTTTCTTGCCCAATAACTAGAACACAAGATAGTTTGTTTAATCATGTCGTAATCCCGTCGTGCCTCCTCACGATGTACTTATTCAAATATGTACCGAACCACAACGATGTTCTAGCTCTACGTTAGGCATAGGCGGGCATAAGGGTAAATACAGAGACGTGGTCCTTGTTCTCCTGAGCTTATCTTCTAGTAAAAAGAATGGATATTCATCAAACACACACACACACATGCACACAGGTAACTGTACGGGCACCAATTATTTAAAGTGCTTTGAACAAAATTTACAGACCTAATCCAGTACGGGAAATTGAGAAATGCTTTGGCGAGGAAGAGAAATAAAGCTGAGAAATAAAGGCAGCATAGACAGTATGGTGGTAAACTTTGGAGAAGAGATGACTTTTCAGGCCATCAGCCATACGTCAAGGTCTTGCAAGAGGCTGAAGGTGGCTGGTTTAAGGACCTGATGGAGAATCAGGGTGGCCCAAGCTCAGAGATCAAAGGGCAAACAGTCACCAGACAGGTTGCGCAAAATAGCACTGGAACCGTGTTAGACTGTTGGTCTGCTACCAGATCCATGCCATCCACTGAAATACGTGAAGACAGGGATGGAGCGAAATCTGCTCTTTTTGGGGGGAATAGCATTTGGAGCAATCCCACTCTGGCTGATGTGCAGAGAACGGATGGGAGAATGGATTAGGAAGTACAAGTGGAAGGGCAATGCAGCTGTCCAGGCCAACGATGAGGTAGGGGGACCAGGGTGGTGGAAGTGGAGATCTAGAAACATGGAATGGGGAGGTGTCGGCAAGATCCACCACCAAGTCCTGAGGTGAGGGAGACAAAGGTGTCCAGAATGAGTGCGGTTTCTGGCTTGCATGGCAAGAGGAAATGAGGATCCCTTTCAAGGAAGCAGCATCTCTGAAAAGCATCAGATTTGGGACAGGGTTGGGGTGGGGGTGGGGGGTGAGACAAAAGAATTAAGTTTTTTTTTTTTTAATTTTTTTTTCAACGTTTTTATTTATTTATGGGACAGACAGAGACAGAGCATGAACAGGGGAGGGGCAGAGAGAGAGGGAGACACAGAATCGGAAACAGGCTCCAGGCTCCGAGCCATCAGCCCAGAGCCTGATGCGGGGCTCGAACTCACGGACCGTGAGATCGTGACCTGGCTGAAGTCGGACGCTCAACCGACTGCGCCACCCAGGCGCCCCAAGAATTAAGTTTTTAAAATGTTGAGTCTTAACTGTCCTTGAGACTTACAGTTGTCAGCCTGGAGTCGGATCTGAGGGAAAAGATTTGGGTTGGAAATCTCAAAATGCGAGGTGACGCCCACATTGAGGTCTCAGGGTTGAAGCACACCAGTGAAAGAGTCTAGAGTGAGAAATAGGTCTCAGGATCCCTCCTAGAGTGACTCCACTATGTGGGACTCAACACCCGGCGCTCAGTAAAAGCTTGTATAATAACATGAAGGAGGAAGGAGGAGGAAAAAGGTAAAAAAAAAAAAAAAAAAGAACAGCAGAGCCTGCACCGGAATAAAGCTCTGGCTCTTTCATCAAAACAAGTTAGTTATTCGTTCCTTCCAAGCTGGTTAAATGTGAAGAGAAGTGTGTTCCTCCATCTGTGAAATGGGGGGAAAGCGGTCTGTGCCTCACACATATATTTTGAGGATTGTAACGACGTAACATTTTACCCACCAAATGCTCAACAAACCTTAGTGATTGTTGCCCTGTGCAAGGCACAGGAAAGACTCTTAATATTATTTACGGAATTATTGCATGAATAAATCCTTGACTAGATGATGTTCTCAATCTTTCTCATAGGATTATTTTTTTTTGAGCTCCAATTTGAGAAAAGCTGGAAGGGGGGTCCAAGGAAGGGAGCGTGTTTGAGTTTTGCCTTCCATCCAGTAAACTTGGGCATTGACTTTAAGCCTCTATCTTTATTGGAAAAACTGGAAAAGACTGAGGCATGATTTCATCCTAGCAAAAAAAAAAAAAAATTTTTTTTTAAAGACAGATTAGACTATCTTCGTTATGTTGCTTTCTCTAAGGACATGTTACCTTATATTACACGTATCGGGATGGATTAGGCCAATTACTTCATCCGACCTTTCTCACCATACATACTTATATTTTTTTATGTTTATTTTTGAAAGAGACAGACAGACAGACAGAGCATGAGTCGGGTAGGGGCAGAGAGAAAGGAAAGAGAATTGGAAACAGGCTCCAGGCCCTGAGCTGTCAGCACCAAGCCCGATGCAGGGCTCGAACCCACAAACCGTGAGATCATGACCTGAGCTGCAGTTGGACGCCTAACCAACTTAGCCACCCAGGAACCCCTACACTTATCACTTTTAAAAATGTATATTACTAAAACACGTGTATTACTTTGGAAGATCTCATTTCTTTCAGAGCTATAATCTGTAACACACTTTTACGATGAAATTAAAAGGCAATCTTCAGGAGTTGTAAGAGACTCCAAAATGGCGGGACAAAGGGGTGTGTTTCTAGAGGTGATCTGAGACAGGTTTTTTAAAAACCAAACAAAACAAAAATCCAGGGTTGAGACAGGAAGGCAAATGTATTAAATGATTAATAACATTATGACCTCTTTGGATAGAAATGAGTATATTCCTGGGGTCAACTGAAGGAATTTCACTTTCTCTTGGCTTAGCCTTCTGAGAACAGTGGAATAGTATGCCATGATGCCATGTCCTGAGATGTGACGTGAGGATTATTAACTCCAAACATGTCCCCAGCCAACAACCGCAAGTTGGCTCTACCTTGGAGGAAGTCTTGGAACCAGGAATATCTCCAGAAATCTCATCAATTTCAAGGGGACAATCCTGATGAACGCTATAACCTGGCAAGGACTCGAAAAGCTTCACTCCTGTGATTTCAGGCACCATCCCTCTGAAACACACTCCTCTTCACCTTTGAACTAAGCTGTCGTGGAATTCACAGCATCTTGGAAACTCGATGATAATGAGAAGAATCCCCAATAACTAGAATTTAGGGGGTACTTCCTGTGTGCTGAGAACCATCCTAAGCATTTACGTGCGTCGGCCATTGACTCCTCTCAATCCCACAGGGAAGGTACTGTTGTTCTCCCCACATTACAGAACAAGAAACGGAGGCACAAAGAGATCAAATAATTTACCCAAGGCCCCTTGACTAGTGAATGAAGGAGCTGGGATTAAGATAAAGGCTTATTGGGCTCTAGACTAAACTCCTAAGTTAAGAGGAACCAGGAAGCAGTATTGTATATGTCTCCCTCTCCCTCCCTCAAGCCAATAAATAATAACTTCCTCCTTGCTGAAAAAATTCAAGGAAGATTATATAGTCATATAGATAGATACAAAAATCGGGTACATTTGAAGGAAAATAAAGCAGGAGGTATCATGATCACCATTGTTAAGGAATACGGAAACAACATCAGCAGAAAAACTAAAAATGGTAGGAATTTTGGAAACTGAGTCCAGGAGCTTCTTTGCTGCCTCCTATTTGTTTTACCTTTTTTGTTTTTTTTTTCTTTTTGGCCAAATCTGTGTACCACCCGTTTATGTAACTTGATTCCCTTCACAAACTTTACAACGGTTTTATCAAATGTGACTATATTAATTGTTTAAAACATCAAGCTGTATTAAAAAAAAAATTGAATTCTCTACGCGCCCGCGCCCCCGCCCCTGAAGCTTCTGGAGTGCCCGCAAAGGAATGCACTCCCCACGTAGGAGACTCCTGTTGGAATCCAGGGGAAGGCAGGAGAACAGACAAAAGAAAGCAAAACAATGGCCTGGAGACGTGGTGGCTCCAGACCTCTCATCTCCAACCTCTTTTTTCAACTTCCCAGAGGAATCCCCATAGGGCACGTCTCGGTTGCCTGGGAAACTCTGGTCTGCAGAACCTGACCACGTGTTATCCTGTGACATATGGAAGGGCCTGCTAGCCACACCAAGGACCTGCCATAGACACATTACCCGAAGCCTGGACATTTTGTGTACAATGAGCTCCGAATTTAAACTGCAAAACGTTACCCGGCAGGAAGAGAAGGTATCACGGAACAAAATGCCAAATGTTCTAAATGCGACCGTGGATTTAAGAATCTATAACACTGCAGTCTCATGTATACGGGCAAAAAAAAAAAAAAAAAAAAAAAAAGCAGCAAAGCCCAAATATTTAGTTACAACAAAAGGAAACATCTCCTCAGTTCTGCTCCAGGGTCTTCTCTGTGGTCCAATTAATCAAATAAGAATGGATCCAAAACTGGTAGCCACTTGCCAAGCCTACAAAAAAAAAAAAAGTCTGATTCTGATTATTATATAAACAACTCCCAAAAAAGGAAGCGTTATGAGGAAAGACAAACATTTTCTTCCCCTGAATTGCAGCGTCTTGAATTCCTCCCATGAGTTGGTGGCAGGAAAAGACTGAACTAGCTAGAAATTGAGGTTGTACCAAATCATATTTTATTCCAAATAAGAGATATCAAAATGTCTAAGTGGCCTCTTAAACATGTAAGGGTTATTGCTCTGTCTTACGCTTTAAACAAGAGAATTACGACACGTTCTTGGGTGATACGGGTTGAGTTATATATTTCTTTACAGGATCCTATAAATTAGTTTTCTCCTCAATGTGAAAGCTTCAAAGTAAACACTAATGAATTCAATTTTTATTTCACCATCTTTTTGAGGATTCTTTGTGCCATAAGCCAGGAGTCTGGGTTAAGCAACCACAAGGCCGCCTTCGTGGGGATAAGAATCAACAGACGTAGAGCAGAGTTCTAACCCTAATGGCCGCTTACTATCAGGAGGAGAATTTTCCGTTTTTCCTCTCTGATCCCTACAGTCATCACAGGTAGAGGGGTGACACTCCCATGACTGCTGAGCATATAAAGGAAGTCGTGAGGTGGGGCCTCTTTGTGGTTGGAGAGAAAAAGAAAATCCAGAAGGGTAACCCATCAAGTTCCCAAACAAGCTCTCCTCTGGGGAATGCGTAGGTGTGGGGATGTGTGTTGGGATGAGCTTGATACATGGCATGATGGAGGAGTCCCAGTTTGAATTGTACATACTTCCAAGCCACGTGAATATGTTAAAAATGGACATGCCTCATGTATAAATGTCAATGATTAAACAAACATTGAAGAATTAAACTAGCAAGAAGACCAACGGTGCCCATGGAAGGGGTCCTTGGTTCTTGATTTGTATCCTGAATCAAGTGATACCAACTGGAATCCAACATGTACGTCCTTCCCCACGACGGCTGACTGGATCCTGAGGTAAGAGGGCAGGTGGGTGGGGGAGGGGGCCTGGGAAAGACAGCACCTCAGATATTGTGGCCTGTCCCCGCCTCAAGTTGCCACACGGAGCAGCGTGATATCCTTGCTTGAAGCATTTAAGAACAGAAAAGAGAAAGAAAATGTTAAGTCTCTCTGTTTATCGTAACTATAATCAGTTGTATTACTATCAATCATTAACATTTATTAAGAGTTTGCTGTGACCTAGGAATGGTGCTTAGGATTTTTTTTTATTTTATTTATTTATTTTGAGAGAGAGAATGAGCATGAGTTGGGGGGAGGAGCAGAGAGAGAGAGGAAGACGGACAGAATCCCAAGCAGGCTCCAAACCATCAGTGCGGAGCCTGACACGGGGCTCGAACTCACAGACCTCAGGATCATGACCTGAGCCAAAATCAAGAGTCGGACACTTAACTGACTGAGCCACACAGGTGCCCCAAGGATTTCTTTTAAATGAATGTCTCATTCATTGTTCACACGAGTGTTTGAAGAAGGCATTGTTTTATTACCTCCGTTTGCAGGTGGGAAAAGTGATAGTGGAAAGATGAGGCCTATGGTCACTGGGCCAGTAAATTGCAGAGCTGGAAACTAAATTCCAGCAATCTGGAAAGATGCACGGGATTCAGGAACTCAAAAGTACCGAAGCAGAGAGGTTGGCAAATTGGTCCTTTCTCAGGACCAAGGGTTGAAGTTCTCGTGGGCTTGACTTATAGACTCATAGAATTTTTAGCGTTGGAAGGGATGGTCCAGGTCTTTGAGCTCAACCACTTTATCAGAAAGAGATTAAGGAATCCTTTCCACATGTCCATAGATGACCTTCTATTCTTTGCTTAAATAGCTCCAGTAAAAGGAAATTTAAGATTCATATGGACAGATCTTTGCACTGTTGGATAAAACTACTCACTAAACTCATAAAAACTCCTCATTAACTTAAGCAGAAGCTGGTTGCTCTAAGAAATTACACCAAATGCTTTAGTTCTTGTAACTGGAAACCCATATAATTAAGTCTCGTTCCTATTCTATATGCAAATGTTTGAAATATATGAGGACAATGCACGTGTTCTCAATAAAATTGGATGGCTTCCCTGGAGAAGAAAGTAGTAGAGGTTTAGGCAACTTAAAGTTCTGGACTCAAATCTCACTTTGGCCCTTTGCTAGTTATTAATCTTTGGGCAACTTCATCAAATTCTGAGTCTTAAGCTCCTCATCAATTGATGAAGACAGTGTCCAGGCCATAGGGCTCTTGAGGAGTAAAACAGAAAGTTCCCAGCATAGCACAGTACTAGGCACAGAATAAGAATCTAGCACCCGCTGGCTTTCTTTCCCTTTCATTCTTTTGTTGACCTTCCTCTGATTTCTCTAAATCTTTTTTTAAATTTTTTTAAATGTTTTTTGGTTTGTTTGTTTGTTTTGAAGGAGAGAGAGAGCATAAACAAGGTAGGAGAAGTGAGAGAGGGAGACACAGGATCCAAAGTGGGCTCCAGGCTCTGAGCTGTCAGCACAGAGCCCGATGTGGGCTCAAACCCGCGAGCTGTGAGATCATGACCTGAGCCGAAGTCGGACGCTCAACTGACTGAGCCACCCAGGTGCCCCTAAATCTGTTTTTAACAAACCTCCTGAAATGTGAGGCTCCCAGCTACACACGATACTGTCGATGTGCCTGATACAAAGGAAGGTGGGCCTGTCAGACCCCATGCCATAAACACTGGACTTTTTATTTTAATGTCCTTATCATTCCAAAGATCCTTAGTTGCCTTAGAAATGGATGAAACAACAACAACAAAAAAATCACACCTCTTTTCCCTGATCTCTAACCAAGTCCCACGTCTCTCATGGTAAGCGTACTAATTTTACCATTAGTCGGAAGAGTAAGACTTCCTTTTCTCCCTGTTGATTTCATTGTGTACTTGGGTCTGTCGTCTACACAATTAGCAATCCCTTCCCACGTTGTGGGAGCTGAAGATATGGTAAGCATACTTTCAACCCAAGTGGCTGATAAACAGTGATACACAGGACAGACCCGGAGAGCGATCCCCATGTCACTCTGCGGCAGACCTCCCACAAAGTTGACAAGAAGTCATTAATCAAGCTCCTCAGTCATGTACGATTGTGTTCAGAAGCCCTATAATCTAGTTCCCGTGTCATAACCCTGCATACACGACTATCAGGGAAACTTTATCAAATGCTTCTCTAAAAGCAGGATGCAATCGTCCCCCTGCTCCTCCAGCCTCAAGGTAAAGCCATCAACATCGTATGTGGAGTTATTGTGGCACAGAAATACAAACTGCACTCGTTTCAACACGCATTTGTAAATGCTCGTCAATTTAACAATCAGCACCAGGGGCGCCTGGGTGGCGCAGTCGGTTGAGCGTCCGACTTCAGCCAGGTCACGATCTCGCGGTCCGGGAGTTCGAGCCCCGCGTCGGGCTCTGGGCTGATGGCTCAGAGCCTGGAGCCTGTTTCCGATTCTGTGTCTCCCTCTCTCTCTGCCCCTCCCCCGTTCATGCTCTGTCTCTCTCTGTCCCCAAAATAAATAAACGTTGAAAAAAAAATAATAATAATCGGCACCAGCCTCTTTAGACAAGATTGCTTCTCTTTAAAAAGGTTAAGTCACTTCTTTGGTTTTCAGAAGTGATTTAACTTGTCTCCATTTTAGAACATTTGGGTATTTCTAATCTAACGGCACCCTCCCGATTCTCTAATAAAATTCAATATTTAGAGGAAATGACGCTAATGAATCTTCAGACCGCAGAATTGTTTTTGCAAGCCCCAAAGGAAGATATCTGCTTTTAAGCGTGTGAGCACTATCTCCTTTCCGAGCTAGGAAAGTTTCCGCTTTTCGAAAATTTATTTGATCTTTTCTTTGTTATTAGAAGACAGAGTGATGGAGTTTCATTTCGGACCAGCAAGAGAAGAATGGACGTCACATGAACAATACCTTATTTATTTGTTTATTTTATCAAACAAATCTGAGCGCGCCTTCCTTCTGTCGATTCTAGTTTATTTACCTTTTGAAATGAGAAAATTGGTGTACAAAGCTTTAGGAAAAATCTTTACCTAGCCACAAGTTTCTTGCACTTCAGCTCAATAACTAAAAGAAACCAGTTTTTCTCAGGTTTTACCTATTTGCAATCACTGATATGCTTTTACATTCCCACTTTAAAACTAGTATCAACATACACCCTCGTTTGTGCTGTACCAGTGGTAACGTTTAAGCAAAGAGCAATGTATCAGCTGCACAGACGATCCTGTAGATCTCAAAACATTGAGAGTCCAACAACTATGTAACTTTCGCAATTTTTGTAAATGTGAAAAAAAAATCTTGTCTAGACAGATGGTCCCTGACTTTACAACGAGTCAGCATATGATTTTTTTTTTTTTTTTTTTTTACTTTACGGTGGTGTGAAAGTGATAGACATTCAGGAGAAACTGTACTTTGAATTTTGAATTTGGATCACGTTCCCAGGCCAGGAACCTGTGGTCTGATGCTGCTCACGACACTGGACGGCAGCCTCAGCCCCCCATCGGCCAGGCAACCATGAGTGTGAACAACCAAAACACTGACAACCATCTGTACCCATAAAGCCATTCTGGTTTTCGCTGCACTACAGTATTCGGTAAATTACATGAGATATTCAACACTTTAGGATAAAACAGGTTTTGGGCGAGATGATTTTGCCCAACTGTAGGCTAACGCAAGTGTTCTGAGCCCATTCAAGATAGGCTAGGCTAAGCCATGAGGTTCAGTGGGTTAAATGTATTAAATGCACCTTCAACTTACGATATTTCCAGTGCAGGCTTTATCAGGATATAACCTCATTGTAACTGGAGAAAGATTTGTACTAGTAAAGAATTGCCTTTAGCTATTGGAATTATTTCTTTGATATTAACTCCCATGAGACAGAAAATTGAGTCATAATGAATATTTTTGTTCCTCTTCACGGATATTACCATTTGGGCTTCTAATAATTTACAGGGCTACCACTCGTGCAC